GAGGGAGAGGGAACTGGGATTGACATGTAAAAGAACCTTGTTTCTAATTTAAACTTGGTCTAATTACAATTATAAAAAGAAAATAAGCTCAAAACCTAAATTCATACAGTCATTCTGTTTTTTGAAAACAAAACATTTGGAAAAGATCTAAATTAAATGATTACTTAGAGCCTCTGCAATAGACAGAATTCCACCATACAACAAAATTCTCAGATACAAAAGTTCTCCTACATTTTTTGTTCAAAATCACACTTTCCATATGGAAACTGAACCAGAACATAGAATGAAAGCTCTGGCCAACCCCAAAACTTCTCAAGGACCTAATAACAAGACAGAAATGTATGATGAGTAACACTCACCATTGGTTTTCCTCAGTTCCCCCACCATATAGCGAGCTTCCTCTTGAACACGCTCCTCAATGCTTCTCTGCCCCATCCCAAAGTTGCGCAGAGTCACAAGTGAGAAGCGTCTCATCGTTTTCCAGATCTTGCCACTGCTGAAAACAATGCCTAAAAGAAGACCAGAAATGAGTTGGGAGATCCTAAGTAAGGAAGGGGGACTGATGGCAGCTGCCACACAGAGAGCTAAGCTGTGTCTGATAGATTTTCCAAGATTACATTCCCTATGACCACAGCCCAACACACATACATGGATACATAGGTGCTTAGATGTGTAGATGAGTGGACATGTTGGCACATGGACACTTACCAAAGCCTTGACCAATCTTATCAGCCACTGGAAAGCTTCCTCTTCCAGCAAACTCCTCCCCATGATCAACCATGGCTTCTTTCACAGCTTCGTAACCAAGCAACACCACAGCAGGCTTCCTGCCCAAGTACAGAGTGAACACAGAGTGAACACAGGACCATAGACTTTTGAAAGCTGCAAAATAAAAAGTAATTTAAAATGGAAAAAAATTATCCTTTATTAATAATAATTAATAATATATGTTAGTGGTTAAGAGGCCATGCCTACCAGAAGACCAGGTAGGCTGCCCACTGACCTTCCCCACTCTTTCCTTTATTCTAGATCCAGTTCTCATGGTTGCTTCTAGAGCTGCAGCAGAACACCAGCTGCAGCTCCCCACTCCCCTGTTCCATCCACACCTCCTATGGACCCCACAGACCATCTCACACCATCCTTCCATCCCTGCTTCTTCACTGTATTCCATGCCCCAACATGACCACAGGCCACATCTGCCAGCAGACAAGGTAGGATGCCAATGGACCTGACCCACTCTCACTGTTACCCAGAACCAATACTCAGGTCATGCCTAGCACTGCAACAGACTAACTCATCTTGGCTTCCCCTTCCACTAACCTCCAACACCAGCAAGCATTCCAATGACTACACCAGATGAGCATGCAAGGTAAAGAGCCAACACACTCTGAAAATCAGGAGTATGAACAGAAACCAAGGAACATAACACCCACCCAACCAAGATAAATCCAAAAATTAGCACCAAAACCTATAATCACCCCAGACCAAGATGCCTAGATGCTAGTGTAAGAACATAAGCAATAACAGCCAGGACAATATTTCTAGAGCACAAGAAAAAAAGGAAAAAAAGCCTTAAACATGTGGGCAAAAAACTCCTGTCCTTCCTTGTCTCAGTTGCTGATGGTATATTGTCCAAACTGAACTAGACTGCCAAACTTTTCCAAAACAAGGTAGAACAGTCCTTCAGAATTCCCTGACTCCTGGGAATGTCTGTAAGATATGCTAGTCCTCTACAGAGCTAGGCATACAGAGTTGGATGCCCCAGTGTTGCAAAATTTGGGTGACTGTCCAGGCAACCTGATGTCCCTGTCATTAGGTCTTTCTGTGATCCTTGATAGTATTCCTAAGTTATAATAGAAAGTAAATTAAATTTAAAATTTTATACTCAGAAAGATAAGTCAGATAATTGAGTATTTTCTCTAATTTTGCCAAATACAAACAGATTGGATATTGTAACTGTAGTTATTAATTGATAAGTATTTTGTTATATATAGTTTTACTATGTTAAGGTTAAAACCTTCTTTTTTAATTAGACAAAAAAGGGAATGCTGTAGAAGAATTCTTTGTACACTGTGAATATGTATTGCTCTCATTGGTTAATAAAAGCTCATTGGCCAATAGCCAGGCAAAATGTATAATGTGTAATCAAACTGAGGATACAGGAAGAAAGGAGGGCAGAGTGGGGACAGTCACCAGGAGCCACAGAGGGAACAGGACATACTGGATGACAGGTAAAGCCATGAGCCACATAGCAGAGGGTATATAAGAAATATGGGTTAATTTAAAATGTAAGAGTTAACTAGTAATAAGCCTGAGCTTTTTGCCAAGCATTTAAAATTAATGTAAATCTCAGTGTATTTATTTGAGAGCAGCTATGGGACAGGAAACTCTTCCCACACAGAACATCAAATAGATTGGGCCAGAGAAGAAAATCCCATTGCCATATAATAATTGAAACACTAAACATACAGAGCAAAGAAAGAATGTTAAAAGCTACACAGGAAAAACACCACATAACATATAAAGGCTGACCTATCAGACCTATCACAATGGAGATTCTAAAAGACAAAGGGGCTTGGAAAGATGTGCTTCTGACTCCAAGAGACTATAGATGCCAGCCCAGATTACTATACCCAGAAAAAGTTTCAATCACCATAGATAGAGATCAAGCAAATGGACTTAAGAAGCAAACTGTTATAGCCATTTTAATATCTACCAAAATGGACTTCAAACAAAATTAATCAAAAGAGATGGGGAAAATGCTACAATTTCATTAAAGGAAAATCCACCAGAATGGATTTGAATTTTTAACATCTATGCACCCACTTTTGTAAAGGAAACACTACTACAGCCTAAATCACACATTGACCCTCACACATTGATAGTGGAGACTTCAATACTCCACTTTCACCAATGGACAGGTCACCAGACAAAACTGAACATAGAAATGCTGGAGCTAACTGACATTATAAACCAAATAAACAACAGATATCTAAAGAACATTCCACACAAACATAAAAATATACCTTCTTTTCAACACCTAAAGGAATTTTCTCCAAAATTGGCTACATGCTTAGACACAAAGCAAGTCTCAATAGATACAAGAAGTCTCAATAGACGCAAGAAAATTAAAATTACTCCCTGCATCCTATCAGACCACCACAGATTAAAGCTGGATATCAACAACAGCAACAGAAAGCTAAAGCCTCATGGAAACTGAACAACTCTGTACTGAATGAAAAATGCGTTAAGACGGAAATTAAGGACTTTCTGGGATTCAATGAAAACGACTAGGCGGGGGATTCCCTCGTTCTAGTCTTCGGTTTCCAAATTTATGGGACACAATGAAAGCAGTGCTAAGAGGAAAGTTCATAGCATTAAGTACCTATATAAAAGAAATTGAGACATCCAAGGCTAGAAACTTAACAGCATATCTGAAAGCTCTAGAACCAAAAAGAAAGAAGCACACCCCAAGGAGTAGATGTCAGGAAATAACCAAACTGAAGGCTAATATCAATAAAATAGAAACACAGAGAACAATAGAATCAATGGAACAAAGAGTTGGTTCTTTGAGAAAATCAACCAGGTAGACAAACCCTTAACCAAACTAACTAAAAGAGTAAACATCCAAATTAATAAAATCAGAAATGAAAATTCATTGTTTGAGACCAGTATACCTCCCAAGAATGACACCAAATAAACCTGCATTTATCTGTTTCTAATCTGATCTGATCAGGGCCTTTTGCATTGGTAGAAACCTGTATCGTGTGCCAAAAACCCTGGAGAAGTTGAGCCCCCAGCTGGAGGGCCGGGCCCCAGGCTGCTTGGGGACCACTTCACTCCCCCCACTCTCTGCCTGACTCCATCAACTTTTGATTTGGGGTCAGTCGCCATTTTCCAGCCAGTGCCTAAGATGTACTGGGTACCTCATCTTGTTAAAGATCTTGAGCCCTCTACCAAAAGTCACAGCTACACCAGGGCAAGCCCGTTCTGGAACAGAGATAATCTCTGTTCAGGGGAGCCTTGCTGGATTGGAAGGCGTTCCTACCAAGGCTACTCAACCTTCACTGCTTGATCCCAGGCTACTGCGGGGGATCCCTCGTTCTAGTCTTCGGTTTCCAACACAAGCTCAGGAATAAACAACACCAGATCTAAACCTGATCGTCAGTCACCTCTGGGGTGCCTGCTATGAAATTTATCCAAATTGGGAGTGTCTCAGACTTTATGTCAAAACACAACCAATCTAAATGGCCACCAGAGGGCACTCTTGATTTTAACATCCTCCGTGGTCTTGAAAACTGTAGGAACATGAACTAATGGTCTGAGCTCCCTTATGTCTAGGGCTTTGGGGGCCTGTGCTCCCGCCTCTCCCTTTATAGCCAGTGCATGAAAGCACAAACCTTATTGGCCAGGGTTATGGCACTTCTTCATGCCTTTCATCCAGGAGCTCCACGATTCAGGCATCCCCCTTCTTTCCCCAGCCCCGCCTACCGCTTCCCTTTCTTCACTGCCACATACTTCACCTGGTTGCCAGCCTTCTTATCTTTACCCACCCCTTCCTTCTCCCCCTCCGTGACAAATATCAACCTTTCCCCCGAAACACCTCTCTCTCTTCTCCCTCTTCCTACTGCAATGATTTCCTCTCTACCAACACAAGCTCCACCTAATGGTCAACCCCATCCGCTATCTCCACTTGCTCCCCATCTCCCTCCCATCTCCTGGCCTTCTCTGGCCCTCTCCACTTCTACAAAGCCACAACCTACACCCTGGTCCCCTCCCCCCCCCCCCCCCCCCCCCCCCCGCCGGGGGACCTTCCCTGTGGCTTCTCATGCACGATCCTGGGGATCCCTGTTCTCCTCTGGCTCCTCTGAGAGATGCCAGGCTGCATGTCCCTTTCTCCCTCCAGAATCTATCCCAAATTATAAAGCTATGGGAATGGTGGAGCTTTTGGAGTATAGGATTCACAGAATACAGTATGTGGGGCCAGTAGACAGCTTTCTCCAGTAGGGAAGCCTGCAGGCAGTCCTGCTGCAACACCTCTGGGCCCACAAAAAAACAAACAAACAAAAATTAAATTGCTCACAAGTTACTCCTCCCCTGAAATTCCAACACTAGAGGAGGTAGGAAAAGTTTTGTCTATTTTGTATGTATAAATGGATCTGTGCCTGTAAATTTTGTTGCAAACATGGAGCAACACAGAATTGCATCAAACTCAGTTAAATATATAAAAGTATATGGACATTGCATGTTTGTTTCCCTGGTCTTGAATGTGTAAGTTTGCTATGTTCCATGTGTCTTGGTGATCGATCAACTGTTTCTGTTGCAACTAATTGCCTGGGCTCAGAATTTACCTCTGGGCTTTCTGGCCACTGAACCTAATGTAATAACAGTAATTTGCACGTCATTCAGGTATAAATGATATTAAAGTTGTTTTTATGCTGTTCCACTTTAATAAAAAGCTGGGTCTGGAACTGAGTTATGGCTCAGCCTTTTTCAGACGCAGGCATGGTTTTTAAAGTCTCTGTGTCTGAGGTCAAAACCTGCTAGCAAGAAAGAACAAGAGCTGACCAGCTAAGGGATTTTGGCTTATAAGTTATTGGATATGCTACAGATATCTGAAATATCTGTAGCAAGATTAACTTAAAACTCTTAACTTAGAGTTGGAGCTATTCTGAGAATCAGTTGGTTTGCTACCATCTTAACTAAAGGCAGCCACCTGCGCAGTTGTCCTTTTGACTAGGGTTGGATAAGGCAGATGTCATGGCTTCACTGCCACCTTGACTGAGGGCAGCCACAAGGAATGGGCCAATCAAGGAGACAACAGATCTCCAGGGATACTTTTAAATTGGGGTAAGATTTTGTCTAATTCCTGTTCTGTCTTAAAAGCCAAGCTTATAAAAGATAGTGTTTAAAACAATGCTTGTTTAATAGGGTATTAAAGCTGCATCTCTGTGTGTTCATACAACATATCTTGCAGGCAGCCAAACTTTGTAACGTAAGAGCAATCCACTAGGTATTGATTTTAGAGACACTGGATTTACACTGTTAAAACTTGGTTTTGTCTTCTGCAAATTACAGTTGTGCTATATGTCTTCATTTTTGAAGGAAAAAAAAGTACTTTCATTTCATGTTACCAGAACACACAGTTAAAAGATCTTAAACTTCTTTAAA